GAATGTTCTTCACAAAAAGAGTAAGCAACACATGGAACAGGATATCATGGTACGATGGTAGTGGCAAAAATCCTATACACATCAAGAACAAATTGAGATAGCCATTAGATTTTTCTGGGTGACTTCCTTATCTATATTTATCCGTTTCTCTTTATATGACTCCAAACTAGAGCAGTGAAAGGTGAACATTACACCAACTTGCGTCAATTATATCCAGAGTGCAGAAACACAACCAGTTCAACATTTAAAATGACGACCATATTAGTACTTGGGCCCTGTCAAAATTATCCAAAGGAAGGCAGATTCCAAATCACAGATTGGCAAGTGAAGCCAGATTGTACTAACAAGTCTACCAACCTGAAGCAATAATGAAGACTACTGGTCCAGATGTGTTTCAGAATTTACTCCAAAAATAGTACACAATTTGAACTTTTGAAGCCTACAGCACAGAAGAAGAGACAGTCACCGAGTTTAAGCCAGCTGGATTAATTTAAAATTAATGCTACTGCTTAGCTCCTTCCTATTTTCATTACCTTCCTTTGCTTAAATAGTTACCATTTCTTTTGTTAGATACAATGCTATCTCTCAACTATATTTATGGCAAAACAATCCATGATTTGATGACTACGCAAATGAAAACTTTATCATGATGCATTATAACAATCTGAAGATGATGAACTCCACATCATTGATCCATCAACTGAAGAAAATAATATCTTATTCATTTATTCCCCAAAATCTTTCATAATTTACAAAACAAAACACTTAAACCTATTCAATTTCTCTGCTACATCAGAACCTGTCCTAATAGTCATAGTGTCCCATATCTGGGGTTATCTCAGTGGATATACTCTGTGCACTCTTTATTGGAGTTTTATTTTATTGGAGTACTTAAAATGCATAATTTCTACAAAAATGGTCTAATCATTAGCTTGAAGGTTTATTATCTCTTTGCTCTTTTATAACTTTATCCACTTCAGAGAATTTTCTATCTGAACTCCCAAGTTTACACAGTGATTGGTTCCCAACCTGATTTAACAGAAATGGGATTTGAGGAGACTGTATCACACTATTGCTTCACATTAACAAAAATTACCACAACTGACATGGAGAAAACTTGAAGATCTCCAATTTTTTTAAAGCTTTACTGAGCTAACTATCCTATCACTAAATATGCAAGTAGCATTTGCAAAGCAAAACATGGTCCGTTCATCTAATGAATTTTTGAGTCTTTCTGGCCAAACAATGGTTTGGAGCCAACTCAGAGACTTGCAACGATATGTCAAACTGATTTTTGTAACACAAGCAGGCTCATTAGATCTCTAGGGGTGTAATGAAGAATTGCTAGAACTATTTGACTACCTTTATGAGAACCACATTGTTAGATTACAGTGACAGGGAGGAATATTTACCAATGAAAAAGACCAAGTTATAGAGTTTTCAGCAAAGTAATAACTCCTTTGGTCCATCATATGATGCTGGTAATAGGTTTATATTAAATTTAGTAGTACAAATGAGTCTGTATCGGTTCTATTAACCTTGTATAGCTGTACAGTCCAGAAAGTCCAAAGGCAGCTTACAGGGGAGGCAGTCTTGTAAATCACCATTTAAAATTTTGATTTTTGACATTAAAAAAATTGCATAAACTTTGCATAAACCTATATTAATAACTTACCAAGTGGGAAGGCAGAATTGAGAATACATTTAAGTCTTATCTTAAGATAGCATTGTTAAACTACTGTGAAAGTAACCATGCTTTGAGAAACTTCAGACCTGAATCTAAGCCATAGATTTGAAGGGTCCCAGACAAGTGCCTGCAGATTTTCTATTTTAATTTGAATGAAAATTCCTGGAGACTAAAAAGAAACTTTTTGACTTCAGACATGTCTATTTACATGTCAGACCTGAGACTTAAACAATGATGAAACAAAAATAAAACATGAATAGATTCTCAATGTAATTGCAGTGGTGATCCAACTGTATATTTAGTTCTGACCAGACCATTAATCTTCTGAGAAGACAACAGGCATTTAAAATGAACACAGCATGTAGCAAATACTAATGATTTCTGGGGTATAAAATATATTTGAGGAAATACAAAGATTGATGATGATAAAAGAAAATGGTTGCAGCAAATTGATTCAAAATGTTGCTACAATCGTCAAAATGTAAATTTTGTACCTTTTAAGTCCAACCTTGAAAGTTACTTAAAAGCTTGCAGGTAGAAATTCAAATTGCATCCAAACTGAGCATTTTGTTTCATGCTTGCCTCAGGACAGAACCAAAGGGTGTAAGCCCTCTTTGAGCAGAAGCAGCAGACTGAGGCAGCAAATGGGTATCCTAATGCAGCCTGCCAATCAATTGGTTAGGCTGTCCAAGACATTGTGCAAGTAGGAACAGCTTGTGTGATCTACCTATTTGTTCATGATTATTTTCATCATGATCCTACAACCTGCATAGGTCCTCAATTTACATTATGAAACTGCATGCCATGTTTCAGGCAAATATGCGATTACCTATTTACAGTTCAGTCTGTACATGGTATAAGATGTTCCTGCACTCTCTTGACTTCCACCTCCTGACTTTCAGATTCTGATTATCAGATGCAGAGGATGGCCATGAGTTTAATTTCTCCTGCCATGTTTCCAATGTCCCAAATTATTTATATGTAATTAATTTTAACTTGAGCATATGTCATTGCATGGAATCTAATTACAAGTGACTAGATTTTTAAAAATCTAAAGTAGTTTTAATTGTAATTTACAACCATCATTAAACTTAATTGGCTATAAAGCACTTTGGGACTCCCTGAGGTCCAGAAAAGCACAAGGTAAATGGAACTTTTTCACTTTACTAATGGGAAATAATTGGTTGCGTCAAAGAGGGTGAGGACTTAGAAAACCTTGCATCCTATAGTATCATGCTGTTTTACACAAGCAATGCAAATTAAGTCTTTTTGAATCTATCAAATGACATCAACTAAATGATCACATTAAGTATAGGCTGTTAAGAAACAGCTTGTCCCAGACTTCAGTTCAAGCACCACAACTGGTCTTGGTACCTTCATCCCTGGGAGACAGAAAGAAAATCAACTGGGATTCCTGGTCCTGACTGCAATCTAATGATCTCTGCTAAAAATTACATCATGGGTGAAGACATGGATTGGATTGAGATGTGATTCTGCCTATTGTGACCCACACGAGTAATATCAAACTTGATAAATAGCAGAGGACTATGAGCATAATTATAGTTGTTAGGAGGAAGGAAAATTGGGAGATTCACAATAGAGTTTGTATAAGACTGTCCAGGTACAAAATAAAAATTCAAAAGCTGTAAATTAATGCAGAACTCTATGGTACAATTTCTGCTTGATCAATCCTCCGCTCATGAGTGTCAACTGCAAAGTTGTTCATTCCCAAACCATTATTAACAGTATTGAATGCAAACACATGGCCTTGGAGGTCTTAGCTGTGACACATTTAGTTCTGGTTTGTGCCAAGGACCAGTGCAGTGGAATTAATTAACTTTAGTGCCCAGCTAACCAGAGCATTAAACAATTGTATCAGAAAATGAAGTAACTGATAGGATGGGCAGATATAAAATGTTCATAGAATTGGTCTCTAATTAGCTTGCAGTCTTTTCCAGAAATGTACTACAGAGAAAACATTTGGAGATGTTCGGAGATGTGATGAGTCATAGAAATTTTACTGCAACATCTTGGGAAAGTTGCAAGTGAAATTGGCAATATCATGTCAAACACAAGTCGAGTCACTTGCTACTGAAACATACTCAGACAAACATTAAGCTTAAAGGCAAATGGAGTTTTTTAGTAATAACAATGCCATTCAGCAAATTTAATTAAGTTGTCCCTAAGATACTTAATGATATACCAGTTTGAATATATTACTCAACTCAGCCATAGCTATACCCACTACAGTTATAAAACTGCCAACTGCACCCCGATACATACTGCAACTCAATCCACTATTTAAGTTTCTATTTTGCACAAAAGGCACATTTTAACAAATTTAATTATAGTTTTCTTTTAAATTCTATTAGGTCTCTGGCATTAACTTCCTGTGACACACAAATATAGTTCAACCATTATTGTTTCCATACCATATCAGATAGGTCAGCAGCTTGGTTCTGTCTAAGTTGCAGCAGATATAGTACAGGACTCAAGCTGGTCCCATGGCACAAGTTTAAGTTCTTATTATCTTTAAAGGTACAATATATCAAATACATTGGTTGATAAAAAGTCCATAAGGGATCAAACTAAAAAGATGATAAAGGTACAAAAGTCAACTGAAGTTGTTATTGGATAGCTAAAGATGACAAATCAGTAAGCAGTTTAATCAATGACTCAATAAATGGTGATTGTACTCCATTCAAAAACAACTTTGGAATCAAATCCAGCTGCTCCAATCTGTAACATACCTACAACAGATTATTTATTTCATTTCACACTACTCTGCCTTTGGATTTTATTTCACTTTTGAAGTCTGACCGTTCAAAAAGTTATTTCTGATTTTTTAAAAATAATTCTGTATTTGGAGGTTTTAACTCAACAAAATAATCTGTTGTATACTGATTAATTAATATTATAATGCATGTCACAATTTCTACACAGGTTCAGTTTCCAAGCAATCTCCGTTAGTGAAAAGATTGGCTATGTAAAGTATTAATCGAACAACACTACCATAGTGCTATTTTTATGATGACACAAAAAGCCCCAGAAATGGAGCATCTAAATCTCCTTCGGAGATTATTGTTCAAAATGGAAGCCTCAATGGTTACCTAAGCATACTTACCTCTACTTGGGTAAAATGCGTTGGTTTCTAATCATGTGACTGGGTACTGCATCATCAGCAACGAGAAAAAGCTCCAAAAGCAGCACTAAAAATGGCAGTGAAACTTCCATTTCATTCTCTTACCCAACCAAAAGACGGGGTGAAATATTGGAAATAATGAAGAAATGAGATGACAAAATAAAAATAGAGTAACATCAATAAATCACCATACTGGTTCTATTAAAATAATCTCTACACAGTCCATACTCAGCAACAAAAAACACACACAACATTAAATACACAATGTTCCAAACAGATCAGATCAAAACCAAAGATTAACATAAGTGCTCTCATTTTACTGATTTATAAAGTCACCAATTTTCCAACCAGAGCATATCCATTAGGTCTTGTGCACAAATTCACCATTACTTTTCAGTGAATAAGTTGGTTTACAAAGCTTGATCTCTGCCAAACACAGAGTGACAGAGGTATAAATCTAACAAATCATCATCCTGTTTGGAATTCCATTTTAGAAAGTACTTTTTCCCAAATAGCCATTTGGATAACCAAGTCCATAGATGACATTATTTGAAGAAAAAGGCACAATGGAGTATGAACCAATCTCTTCATAATACAAAGATTCGGAACATTCATTACAATCCTTGATCATATACTTCACTCTCTTCTGTGCATCAGAGTAGAGATGCTTTGAAGCCTTATTAAACTGTTCAGCATAGTCATACATTTCTTTCTCTGTTTCAATGTGGATTTTCCTCAATAAATTGTTTATTAAAACAGCCCTTCGAAGATAGATTTCAGGGTCTTCAAGAATCCTTAGTTTTTCTAGTGAAAGCCTTAGAATACATGTTCGATCTTCTGGAAAGATCAGGTTCTTAAAAAGAAAGAACACTCAGGTGTTTAAAGTAACAGTGCAAAAGTGTCCAATTTTTTTTTAATGTCAAAAAATGCTTACTTTTGGAAAGTACCCATTGTAAACTTTATGCAAATCTTCTTCTTCTGCATATTTTCTCTTGAAGTACGCTACTTTCGACGTTGTTAATGTATTTGAACAAAGTTCCGTCAATCTTCTGTATGAGAATGAGAAAGAAAACATTCTTAATTGAAAGAATAAATAGAAACTTTAGATGATAACCGCAAGTTTAAGACTGAATTAAGACTGTTTTATTACACTCAATATTATGAGAGCTCCAGCAGTGCCAGTGACTCTATAAATAGGCCTCACACCCACTGTGACCTACTATGCACTTTCTCCTACTAATTTCAGCAGAAAACTTCTAACTTTTACACCAGTTGCTGGAATATATCATCCATCATCGTGTGAATTTTTTCTTCAAATATATAAAGCACAGATGTTAAAACAACATAGATAAGGTAGATGATGGCCTAATGGTACTATCGCTAGATTATTAATCCTGAGACTCAGGTTCTGGGGATCTGAATTCAAATCTCGCCATGGCAGATGTTGGAAAATCAATTCAATAATAATCTGGAAATAAGAGTCTAATGATGACCATGCAACATTGTCAAATACTGAAAAAATCTGGTTCATGAATGTCTTTTAGGGAAGGGAATCCAACATCCTTACTTGGTCTGGCTTATATGTGACTCCAGGCCCACAGAAATGTGGTTGACTCTTAACTACCCTCTGGGCAAATTATGATGGGCAATAAATGCTGGCCTGGCTATGAAACCCCATGAATGAATATAAAAATAGAACAGCTACACTCCTTGATATAAAAACAAAGACACAAGTTACTTTTTCTATAAAGATATACTTTTTAATAGTAATGCACATAATGTAAATTCTTTCAGACATTCCTTAGAGGGCGTTATAACAGGCCAAATTTTTTTTTAAAAATTGCTTTGCAGTTCTTCACTGCAAGGATCAACTACTCACTTCCAGATATGATTTATCAATTTATATCTGAGGAAGTCATACTCCTCAAGCAGTCAGAGTGCGTCTTGGCCAACCAGTAACTATATTACCTTCTGACAGACAATTATCAATCAAATCACTATCTTAGGCTCAGGCCTACCTTTGATCTGTGACCAGCTGGCTTGTGAACACTTCTGCAGATCCTGAAACAAAGAGAGTAGATAACATATCTTTCATGAAGCGTTTTCAACAATTAACAATTTATATAAAGTGACAGAAATTTCTGACAACAGTCTAACACAATTTGTTATCAAACTTGAGTGCATCATCAGGTTAAGCACATTAACAACACTTATTTCATTCAGGTTGGCACTTCAAAGTAGTACTGAGGAAAGGTTGCATTACTGGAGATGACTTATTTTCAATACAACATCAAATCAGGTTTTTTTCAAGGTTGCAAAAGGGTGCTTGCATATTTTAAAAATCATATTCCCAAACAGTGACAGTGGATCCCACCAGCTCATGGAGCAGCATAGTGGCTTAGTGATTAGCACTGCTGCCTCACAGTGCCAGGGGCCTGGGTTTGATCCAGCTCAGAACTTTACCTGCACTTCTCTCAATCTAATCTACTGTATTCGCTGCTCACAATGTGGTCTCCCCTACTTTGGGGAATCAAAGCATAGACTGGGTGACCACTTCGTAGAACATCTACGTTCTACCTGCAAAAAAGACCCTGAGCTTCGAGTTGCCTGCCACTTTAACATTCCACCCTGTTCCCTGGCCAACATCTCTGCCTCAGGCTTGCTGCAATGTTTCAGTGCAAGCTGGAAGAACAACACCTCATGTTCCGCTTGGGGAGCCTGCAGCCCTCTGGATTCAATATCAAGTTCAATAATAAATTCAATAAACTCTCCCATGCCCTATCCCCCTACCCCACATACCAGGCCTTGTTATAGTCTGCTATTACACACTACCAATTGTTAGCCACTAATTGTCTCCATTAACAGCTATTCACCCTCCAAGCCAGATCACTATCCACTCCTTTGTCTGTCCAACTATTCTCCTATCTCTCTGGGCTCCATTTCCACCTATGGTTTACTCCTGAACCCCTCCCACACCCTATCTTCTGCATATAAACCTACATTTTCCTAGCTACCACCAATTCTGAGGAAGGGTCACCGGCCCCAAAACATTAACTCTGATTTCTCTTCACGGATGCAGCCAGATCTGCTGAGCTTATCCAGCCAATTATGTTCTTGTACGTATGTAAGGAATGATTTGTCTGGTTAGCATACAAAATAATACTTTTGACAGTATCCTATAAATACGACAATAACAAATCAAATCAGGTCAAATCAATTATGCTCTCAGACAGCTCCTGGTAATACTAATTGTCATTAAGTCATCTTTGGTCCAATTATATTCCAAAATAGTATCACATGAGTGATGCAGTTGTGAACTGGGGTCTGGCCCAGAAATTATGCTGGCATCAAGCTCCTGACAATGTTTTGAAAATTCAGTTCACAGTGTTTCAAGTGGCAATAAAAAGTTCCAAGCTACAATTCAAAGAAGGACACACAGTTCTCTCAATGACAGAAACAATAATTTTCTCGCAGCCAAAACCACCAAATATAGAATAATTGCTTATTTCAAATAACTTGCTGACTATGAAGAACTTTAGGATTTCTGAGCATTGAAAAGATATGAGATAAATGCAAGTTATGTTTATCTTCCTTGAAACCTGGAACATTCTATTGTCAATCTCACATTGAAAGAACATTACACTTAACATGTTGGAATTTTTGCTGATGCGCTTTCAGAAATATTGAGAAATACTGGGTGGAATTTACTGTGATCCTCAGAGTGGTTTTAGAGATGGGAGCATGGGGGATTTTGAAGAAAAGGTGGAGGGTGTGCTCTCTACCACTTTCCCAATACCATACGTTGACACAAGAGCTTGAGGACAGTCTTCAAGCCCAGGCATTACGTGGCAAATTAAGGGCCTCTTCGTGCTGTTGCTAGCATTTGACTAGCTGTGGAGCAGACCTACAGCGGGGTCAGTTGGGAGGCCCTCCTGTTTAGGCCCTCTTTGATTAGCTGCCCCCAGAGAAACACCCCACTGATCTCACCAACTAGCCTCTGCCTCAGTCTCCCCTCATGGGTCCTATCTCGATTGTCTGGCCATAGTGACTTCACTTACTTTGGTTTTCAAGGATAGGGTCCATGCTGTTTCAGGTTAGATGCAATACCAGCAGTGACCAACCCCTCCAACTGGTTAGTGGCTCTTGGAAATGGGACAGGTGTATCAACACTAGGCGGTTAATTACCTGATTGTAACATGAGGTTGAGTTTCCTCCAGCTTTCCAGCCTGCCTCAGAGCCATCACTACCCCAAAAGATTCAGTCCATTAAGTGATATCCCAGTTATCTCTTTATGTCATTTATAAAACTACAAAACAAACCTTCAAAATTCAGTATAGGCTAAGGAGTATTTTTGTCATTAGCAATAAATAAGAACTCTGTACAATGACGACAAATGTTAGAACATAGACACGGTTTCTTGGTTTGATGGATAACAAGGGGTATAAGATGATCAAACACTCTGAAATTATATAAGTGGAGGAGAAGGATGACTATTTGATTGTGAAACTTTGAATCTACCCATTAACATTCACTACATATCTATATTTGAAAACCTGATGTAAGTATTTGTTTCCTTTCTAGCTACCAAATTATTCCTCAAAAATCTCACACTGAGATCAATGGCTCATTTTTAACTCTATTACTTAGTGGGCTGGATATTTTTTGTTAATCGGTAGTCTATATTAGAGGTTAGCTCTTAGTTTATCTGTTTTCATTTGCAGAAGCATAATTAACTTCTAGCACATAAAACCACTTATTACATAAATTAGTTCCTATCACAGTTATGTATGATCCAAAATTACAATTATTTCACAGGATACAAACATTAATCTTCTGGCCATCTTGATCGGAGCAATGACTTATCAAAATTGCCCTTCATGTTTCTATTTTATTTGACTAATTTGATGAATCAAAAACATAATATTGATCTCACCTTTGAAGGCACTAATAATATCAGCAAATTTGCCACCAAAATCAAACAAGGTATCAGCTAATGAACAGCACAAAGCAGATTGAAGAATGTTTTACCAATTTTTTTAAGCAAAAGTATAAAATAATCTTCACTGATACAGGAAATAGAAATAAGTTATGACTGGGTTTCCTTAACAAATGCGGAGAGAGAAAGAGGTTTGTACATGGTTTAGAGGTATTCTGTATTATATAGGCCTTGTCACAAAGGATTAATGAAGGCAAAAGATATATTTTTATGGTAATTTTCCTCTCCATGGAGTGGCATAAGCAATGGCAAGAATTGTGGGAAAATACAGACAGAATGAAAAGATGTGATTCTCAACGTAGAGAAAAAATTTCCAATTTGCCCCTCAAACCTCAAATAGCAATTTGAGAATCTCACCGTGGAGTGGTGACTACCTTATTTACATTTGCACTCCATTTGGATCTCATTAAAGCCTCAACTTACCTTATTTATATACCAATTCTAATTCTCCTCTCCTCCAATGAGCAAGCAAATAGCACAAATTCCCGACATGTAAATGCCAGTAGTTGTAACTCACCAAATGCTCCTCCCAGCCATTACGCAACTGCTTCTTCATAACAATATTCCTGTGTAAATTCAATGGTCATCATCCTCCTCAACACTTCATTCACGTAGGTCAGCATTGGCAAACCACAAACCTCACAAAATCATGCCTGCTCTCAAACCAACTTTCACACCACTTCAACCCTTCAACATTTTTATCTGGAGTTCAGGGACATCTATGACTTGGATGCATTTGCCAGTTCACTTTGTGCACAGGGACATATGCGTATGTGCACAGGATGCACCTTATGACTCTTAGCTTTTTTTCTTAAGCTCAATCTGCACTTTGCACTTTAGAGGTTGCCAGTCTCTGTCTACTTTTGTTTTCTTATCTGACCTCAGCACTGACTTATGGCTGCCACCTTCTGTGTGATTTGCATTTCTGTCTTAGCACACAGGGTCTTTATTGCTCAGTTACAGACTTCCACCCTCTGTGGCCTGCATTGCCTTCTTAGCACAGAGTAAAGGCAGGCAGCTTGTCATAATGGGGAGCATTGAAAGTCAACGGAGTACACATGTTGCTGTGTGCCAGTGTGTTACACCAACATCACACCGACAGAATGTGCCAGCATTTTCTGCAGTAAACCTATTGCATATGCTTCAAGAAAATGGCCATGTTTGAAAGTCAAAGAGGAGCGTATCTTAGCTGGGTAAAGAAGGCCACTGTTAGTACTGTCATAGTCAGTCTAGAGGCTCGTCCATTTCCAGTACAGTAGGTTAGCCACAGTCAATCAGGCACTTGTCCTGACAGAGTCTTCGCAGTTCAGGGATTGACCCACACTGAGTCCTGCAGGTCACAGTGCAACCAGTCCAGAGATTACTAGTAAGTAAGTCAGGGTGCTCTGGAGACGTCAGTCTGGGGGGTTGGCCATATTTTTATGTAATGAGATAAACGGAGGGACTGAATATGATGGAAGCGGATGGATGAGCAGTTAGTGATGATGCAGGAGCAGAAAAGGTGACAAGGTGTTCCCAGTGAGAAGATTAATAACATAAGGGCAGGGAGGATGAAGTGGATATAATGCATGCATTACTGACAGCTATAGTCCATAATGCTTAATGGGAAGTGTGTGCAGCAGCAGAGAGAGTGCTGGCCCATAGTATGAGGTTGCAAAGAGAAGATTATAGCACTTACCCTCGCAGAGCTCAGAAGATCAATTATCTTCCTGCTTCACACATGACACACCATTGACCCAGTATGTAATCTGAGTCCAGGCTGCTGTGTCTCTAGTGTGTTCGCCTATGGCACTCCTCTTCACCACCCCATCCACCAAGATCTCCTGTCCCAGTTCACAAAGTGGGAAGCAAGCTTTCCTTTCCTATGGCCCACATCCTGAATGTTGAGGTTCAAGCGCCACTGTGTAAAAATTGTTCATGACTTGCAGAGTCTAAAGTGGTGCACAGCTGCTTCCTCTCATTAAAGGATCAAGCATGAGAGGAGATGCTGGAGAATCTGAGATAACAAGGTGTAGAGCTGGATGAACACAGCAGGCCAAGCAGCATCAGAGGAGCAGGAAAGCTG